GTAATCCCAAATTGAAAAAACTTCACATGATTACAAAATTAAGACAATTAAATATACCAAGAAAGAAATTACTTGCGCTAAGGACCACTAGTTCACTACTAATTATTCATTCACGAAACAGTAAATTTATTTTTTCTTACAATTGTTGAGTAGTTTAATTTGTATAGTTTATTTGGTTAAATTACTGATGAGTTTAATCTAAATTGTATGCAGTTGATTTGTACTATGTATTAATCATTCAGTATAAGTATGCTTTGTTGTTTGAAAAAATTATGAGGGGTCGATCCGCATAACTGTTAGACCGCCTTGCGACAGAAATTGTGTTTTCTTGAAGGAGGCAAATGTTAGAACATAAAATTCAAAGGGCATAATTTCCGAGGGCAAGGACATTTTTTTACAGTTAACTCTTTACAAAATATAACTTGTTAACGGATTTAGTTTATATTTAAAATCTTTGTCGGAAGTGGTAGGTGAGAATTGTAAGTTTTTGTGCTGATGACCCGACTTATTTTAAAGTTTTAAAATGCTTCTAGTACTTTTTAGCAACGGAATGCTGTCATAACTATGATTGATGATTCTTCAGGCTAACATTCGTAGTAGCTTGAAGTAGGGTATTTTCGTTATCATCTCCATTATTATTCAAGTATTCATGGTAATTTTTATGTTGTTGTTATTATTCCTCTAGGAATCTGTCAGGACATGGACTCCTGCTGCAAGGGATGATTTGGATCTTGACTTAGCGCACTTGAAGACTGTTCGTTTATTTGATTTTGCTGATCCCAATTTAGGCGGTGAGCCAATGCTTACGTTGGCCCGAATCTTGCTTAAGAGAGCCACGTCATTGAAAAAGATGGTGATCGATGCACTTGAAAATGTAACCAATTTTTCATCAGATTTTGCAAAGATGTCTGAAACAGTAGTTAGTTACCCAAAATCCTCGGGAAAAGCAGTGATCATCCTTCGTCAATGATCACATAATCATTTGTTAAACAATTGACTATTTGCCTAGGTGCCTCCACTCCGCAGATCATCCTCCGTCAGTGATCACATAATCATTTGTTAAACAATTGACTATTTGCCTAGGTGCCTCCATGCACTTACCACCCAAACGACGCCCCTCTTCGCATTCGTAGTCTTGTGCGGATGGGCTAGATTGGCTAACCATCTCTTACAATCTAGTAGCCGCTTTCTATTTTTTGTGTTTTGGCCCACTTTGTGGTGCTGTTCGCCTGGGCACCTGTCAGCTCGGGTGTCAAGCCTGTTCAAGTTTTTCTTTTTTCTTTTTTTTTTTCTATTTTT